AATTTCATCCTCATCACCAGTAGTACATGCTTGCGTCTGGTCATTTAGCCCCACGTGATTCATCTTTCAAAGTTATATACATGGCAAAATCGAATCGATCCAAGAGTTTGCGTTTTCTTCACTTATGCACAGCCGAAGCTTTAGCTATACATGAACAGAAACCTATATTATGTGTTCAAAAGCGTTTTGTCAAACCCCTTTCTTTACCTTAGTCATAATAATGTTCTTTCTAGTTTTTATTTTATTTTACCACTTGAATTCTTTCCACTTCACTTCACATCTTCATTCTTACCGTAATCGTACTCCTAATTTTCAAAATTTTTAGACAACACTTGACATTTTTGTTATAGAACAATCTTTAATATTTTTGTAATTTATCCACTTCAAATCTACCCCTTATAACTTTTATCACATATATACGTACATTGACTGAGCAATTATTTAGTGCCACTTAATAACTTTTTTCTGGAATATAAATACGACTGTACAGCTTGAAAATGAAGTCGTTGAAAAGAAATCTCTATTTGAGCTTTATTTCCCCTGCTACTGAATTCTTATTAGTAGTGCAACGTTTTCTTTAAATTTTATATCATATAACTTCCATGTGCGTCGACAGCTTAAGGTTAGACTGCTCACCACTCAAGCACGTCATCTACGTTCGATTCTCGTCTACTGACACATTCTGAAACAACGCATAGTCAGCAGTAAACTCGGCAAAGGAGAAAGGTCGAGTGTAGAGGCTAGCAACTCCATAGCACAGCTACTGAGACTGCAAAGCTCCAGCTTGAAGCCCTAAAATCGATTTATAGAACACAAGGAAATTAAAAGACTATAACCCGTCATTTAAATTACCGGTTTTTGTAGGGATCTAGATAAATTCCAGCGTAGATTTTGTCACAAAGACAACTGAAAATCAAGCAGCAGAGAACAACTGTTTCATCACTGTACTTTGGGGCATATCAGCAGTGTACATACAGCACGTCAAGGCGAAGGCAATAACTGAGGATAGCGCTATATGACGAGCTGATAAAGTCAGAAATCACAAGTGACTGAATAGTCAACGAGTTTTGTCTCGTAACCTGAAGATCTCGGGTTCGGTCCCTAGTCAGTTGATGGATGCACTCTGTTGAAGAGTCTCAAACTAAGGTGAAGTAGCTGTGATTCTCGGGATGAATTGGATAGATAATCAGACTTTAAGTAAAAATCATTAAAACACGCAGGAAATGAAAAATAAGAAAGGGTGGGGGGTTTAATTAAACTTTACCTAAGCAGGCAAGGGAGAGACAAAAGTATAACAAACCTCTTTTGTATGCAAATACACTAGGATTATTCTCTCGAATTCCCATAACTTTGGCTATGTGTAAAATGCGAGTCCGAATTCCGTTCAAAAGGTTAGATGGAATGCGATAGATAACTTTGAAGGCACTATTTCTGTCCACTTTGATGACCGCTATCAATCAAATGAGTCAAAATAGAACTTCTTACAGATTTTATTTAGCCTTTTCTGAAATATGAAGGAAGATGTTCATTAACACGTTTGTTGAGCTGTCTTGTTCTTCGTCTTATATAACTTCCTCCGCAGATAGTAGCTAAATTTGTAGAAACACATAGAAGTGGCACATCTAGGAAGCTTATCTTTCACTTGAGCAATCATAACTGATCAGCTGGAAAATGATAAACAATGGGTGACGGCGGTAATACAAGTCCATTTTATTGCTCTCGATAATCTTACATGTAGGACTTCACTAGCCACATCCCCATTAAATTGCAATTTAAGGAACAGTTGTTTCACTTTAACTGTTATCAATTTCTCTTTACTAATTCATTTTCTATGGAGTCATCTGTGAAGATAGCTGTGTCCAGTGTTTTCTAACTTATGTTGAATCGAGACAAAATGAACAATCAAACATAACCTGTAAAATCACAACCTATCAACATGATTAGTGACATATGAATGAATGAATAAAATTAATCTGATACTCGCTAGTGACTTGCCACAGGTTGGAGATTCCTGGAGTTCTAGTGAGAAGTCATGACCAGTGAGGTTCATCCAGATGTCACGTGTGTGGATGGATGTCCCATCAACGACAATGGTTGGGGTCGAGCTAAATCACGAATTGGTAGAAGTTAGAATTCATAGGCTGGCCATCGAATCGCGCGTCTCAGTGGCTGAATGGTATACGAGCCAGCTTGCCTTGTAACCGGAAGGTCCTGGGTTCGAACCTCGTAGTGTGGGTGCGTACTGCCGATGATTCCCAAAGTAGGATGAAACAGCAGCTGTCCAGTACTCCCTGGTGGTTTTCAATGGTTCTCTAAATGATATCAATCCATGATCTACTCATAAAAACATAACTAACCCTTACAAATCAAAAACTATAGAATGAATAAACACTTAAAAGAAGAATATGTTCTCGTATCCGTGTGAAGAGCATTCTCTGACTACGGTCAATGTACCTTGCTCTAACAAGAGCAGGTGAACTGGTAGATGCACATGGAGGCGGTCAGACGGGGGGGGGGCTTATCTTTTACAGAGGTAGAGAACAGTTTGCGGCTCGTGAACGTCATATGTATTCTAGCTGCAGGGAACGTTTTACTAACTGATTTAGAAAGACGATTTTTGAGCATATCAGAAGCTTGATCTCCTTTGAATTCCAAGTTCACGAATAGGGTTTTCTTTGGAACTGAGTCAGTGAACTTGGAATTCAAAGGAGATCAAGCTTCTGATATGCTCAAAAATCGTCTTTCTAAATCAGTTAGTAAAACGTTCCCTGCAGCTAGATTACATATGACGTTCACGAGCCGCAAACTGTTCTCTACCTCTGTAAAAGATAAGCTCCCCCGTCTGACTTAAAAGAAGAGTCAGAAAACATTAGCTTTTGATTCAAATCTGTTTTTATAGAATTATTTAATTTACAATTAGATATTAATGTATGTATATGTAAATATGCGTGTATTCGTGTGTGTGTGTATGCCTGTATGTATGTATGTATGAGTGTGTATTATGTGTGCACAATATATCCGATCAACGAATCACTGACTTTATTATCCGTATTATTCCTTCGAATAAACACTAAATAAAGAAGTGTAGTGAGGAAACAGAAAAGGAGAAAAAAGGACATGCATACATAAACAGAAGTCAAAAAGGAAACAACATTAACGACGACAACAATAAAATCAATAATACTGAGTAAGAGTAAGAAAAAAAGCACAAGTGAAAAAATCAAAAGAACTTAAAGACATTAATTTTTGTGTACTCTAAAAAGAAAAGAAAAAAAACGAGAAGCAAAGTATCGATGTATAAAAATTTAGACAGTGGAGCGTTCAATTCTCTCCTGTGTATTAGCATTAGCATTTTCAACCACAGCAGAAGTAACTGTCTTGTTCTCTTTTAAATATCTGTAAGATATTGTGCTGTAAATAATACATAAAAGGAATAAAACAAAACGTAAATGAAGATGAGTATTGTAACAGTCTACGGAGGTGATGATGATGTCTGTTTTGGATTTTCTGTTGTGAAAGACCGACGAATCACCTCTATTTGCACATAAATGTCAATCAAGTGTATATATATATATATATATATATATATATATATATATATATATATATATGTAGGCGTGGCATCGAACTGTGTCGGTACCACTAACAGGAAAAAAAGCCAGTTTCTCAGAAAAGAAATAAAATATGAAAAGTGGAAATCTCAAATTAACTGTGATTAGGAAAAGCAGCGGGCATACACAGAGGGGTCAGAGAGCGATAAAGAACAGAAATACACAGCGAATGAAAACAACTTAGAACAAACAACTTTTACTTGCGAACAGAATGTGTGCTCCATGACATATATGCAAATGTATGTATATAACAGTCAAACACTGGAGAAAAAGAAAAGTCATCAATTATTCCATGAAAATATAATGAAAACCAGAGTCAACAACAAGGTCATTTTTTGAAGACGGGGGGGAGAGAAGGATGGAGACAAAGAACTCTAGAACAAGACAAAGAGAGAGGGAGTGTGTGAGTGGTATTTAGAACAAATAAAAGCACACTTTACCATTTAAAAAAATAACAACAATACAATACAGCACAGTACAAAGTATACATGTATACTCTTTTTGTCTTGCAATTAGTCAGTGAGTGAGTGAGTGACTGTTAGGTAGTGTTGCGTAAACAACAAACAAGCGAAAAAAAGAAAGAAAGAAGAAACGAAGAAGCGTGATGATAGGGATAATCAATAAAACCGGGACAGTAGAACAATTTAATGATGATTTTAAAACAATAACAACAGGCGAACGAGACAAAAGTGAAGACATTACATATTACACAGTACAAACAAAACGACAAAGTACAATTACGCATACACAGTGATGATATTTCCCGAAGACACTTCAATACAGACAATTATCGAATAAATAAATAAATAAATAAATAAGCTAAATGAGAAAAGAGTATCAATGAAAGTGGAAGAATCTCAAAGAAATGAGAAGAGGAAGAATTTGGACACACACACACACAAATGGTATTACTAGATAAATTACAGTATGGATGCATTAAAACAAAGTGTAGTTTACAATTTGAGGGAGGTGTGGCAGGGGGTTTAAAGCTCAGGGGATAAGGAGGAGCAGGAGTTTTATACGCAGTGAAACAAAGTAAAGCATATACATGTAAATTTGTCATGATAGATTACTACTTTATGAAGACAGAGAACAAAATCAAACATAGTCGAGATGATGGTACGTAATATTAGGCAGAAATTAACGTATATTAACGTATACATAGCATATGTATATACATACAGGAGTAGCACCAGGAGAAAACCAAAAACAATTGTCTTAGAACAGATACACCACTGACATGAAAACTGATGATTGGTGGAATAAAGTAATTAAAGAAAACAAAAGCACATAGACGTGTGTCTGTGTCTACTTTAAATAAAAATAAAGAAATAAATTAAAGCGTTACATTTGATTTTGTTGCTGTTACTGTTGTTGTTGTAGTTGTTGCTAAGACATTCCACGTGAAAAACTTCGAAAAAATGATAAAATGGCAATTAATATACTACGCCAGTAATGAGATCTTCGATGAATTGTAGTATCATCAGGATTGTCAGTAATATTATCTTCCCTGAGCCATACAATAATAGGATCAGATGTATACACAAGTAAACAGCTAGCCAACATAGTCATGGAAAAGCAGACTGCAAGTTTCCTAAAAATGCAAAGTAAAACAAAAACAACAGAATACAGTATTTATTATTTTTTTTTAAAATTTCTTTACTTTCCCAGTGGAACATAAGGCTTCAGGCTAAAGGCTTGAAGTTTCTGTAGGAGTGATGATTATTTTTACAGAATGGGGGTTGCTAGCCTCATCCTCATCCCCCCCCCCTCTTTACCAGTCTTATTACTGGCTTAGCGAGATAAACGAGTGTGTCGGCCGGAGATTGGACCCCGGACCATCTGCATGGTTGGCGAGCCCTCTACCGGTCTGTCACCGACGCAGAATAAAGTATAATTGAATTTATTTGTGATTAATAAGAATGATGGTAGTGGTCAACAGGGGAATTAAAAACTTGTGCTTCGATCTATTTGGATCTCGTCGGTTAAATTTACCCCCATCGAGAATCAATACATGAGAATTTTCCCACAGAGACTAAAACCTAGTACCTATCATCTCAAGCGCTAAAACATTATCCAGCTGAATAGTCTCAAATAAAAAAAAGACATATGTCTTAACTTTCACTATTTGCGACTGTCAAACAAATAACATCCAACTAACCATCAAAACATTTTCAAAGAGTCGATGCTGGTGGTAGCTGATTTGTCAACAACGGAATTGAGCGTTAAAATAATAACGATAAAGTATCCTTGAATTACAATGAAACAAAATTACTACTCAGAGATTATAAAGTATATCCACAACCTTTCATACAACATGTAACCAGAGATGATACAAAGTTCCCAATAAGTGTGTAACATTAAATCTCTCTCTCTCTCTCTCTCTCTCTATATATATATATATATATATATATATAATATTCATCGGCGGGGACAAATGTACCGATTAAAACTACTACTGAAATATTCGATCTTTTATCTTCAAATACACTGCTGTCCTCTTCTAACTTATAGGTATAAACGCAAGTCAGCCAGTTGAGAAAGTTCCTTTCATCATATTCTTTCTACATATATAAAATATAACAAATTCGGTTGAATATAAGGAGAGAAATTTTAAAAAGTGGAAAATCAACAAGTCAGTTACAGATGAATGAAGAATATTCTTTAATAGCTTTTCTGTGTACTATGTGATAAGAAGGAGAAAAATGATTGGAGAAGCAACACACACACACCATTGCATAGAAAGAAGTGTATGGCTTCAAGTTGTAAAACTTTCATAGAACATAAATAAAAGAAAAGAATAAAAATGTAATTATGATGTTAGCAGAAAGTGTGATTAAAATTAGTAACAGTTGTAATGAGTCAGTATCAACTGACCTAAGCCATTCCATCAATCAGAGTTTTCAACCATACAATTTTCCAGTGACTTATGTATATTGACTAATTGACGTATCAGTGTAGAAAGTTGAACAGAAATAGATCACTTCAGGTTTTTACACTTCTGTAAAGCACACAGCTACACATCTTTCTAATGCGGCAAAGTTAAACTATCATAGCCAAAACCGCAGTGACCTTCGTAAACCAACCAAAATTCAGACGTAAAACAGTCGCATAATCGTTGAAAAATGCACTAAAAATATCGATAACATGATATTACACTGTGTAGTTGTAAATTATGTATTCTAAGAATGTCAAATCGAGAATCGGGAAGGCAGGCGAGAAACATTCATCAACCTGAAACCAATCTGGAAATCTTCGTCACTCAGCATCAACAACAAAATTCGGTCGGACTTTAAATACAAACATCAAGTCAGCTCTTCTATACGGATCAGAAATTAGGCAGGTCACAAAGAATATTTCCAATAGGTTGCAAACCTTTATCAACAACTGACTGTCTTCGCTCTATATTGAAGATCAGATGGCCGGGCCGGAAAGAATCACCAACAAAAAACTATGGCTGGGAACGAACAAAACAAGAACCAATCGCCAACCAACAAATATGCAGGAGTAAGTGGATGGAGATGGATTGGACACTCGCTGAGGAGGCCGCTGGGTGACATCGCGCACGCGTCAGGCCATTGCTCGAGTGGAACCAGGCCGAGAAGGAATCGACGAGTGGGACGTCCGTCCTAGGGTGACATGGAGGAGATCGTGTGAAGAGGAGTTGAAACAGTATGGACTGACATGGATGCAGGTGAAAGATACAACAGAAGGAAGACAGAAGTGGCAAGTGGAGACGTGCAGTTGAAGCCCTATGTTCCACTAGGAACCCAAGGGAACAATAATATAATAATAATAAGAATGTCTCCCAGTCAATACACGGATGATCTATAGAGAAATCGTACCATGCACGATATACCCATTCATCCAAGTGGCTGTAGATCATGGTACTTTGAAATCCATTGGTATTCCTGACATTATTCTTCAACCTACTCCTAACTCTAACCCCAATCCTATTTTCTAATCCTAATTTTAACCCTAAAGCTAACCTGAACGCTACATGTTAAAGCTTTGTCTTAAAAGTCATAACGCTACCTAACAGTACATATTTGCAGAAAAAGTCCAAGTCCAAGAAGGCAGGCACGATTTGATTTGGAATGACATTTCATAGCATTCGCTGTGTCTGATCGGTCTTCGAGTCCAACTTTTGAAAGACCTTCACTTTGGTTATGATACTTTAAGTTCGCCTTCTATGCTATTGATTAGCAGTCAGTGATTTCATGGACTGAGGAAAATTAATTTCAGATAGAGTTTTATTTTATAAAGTAAAGCATGTTGGAAGTGATCAGTACGTTTTGTGCACTCGGTAGGAAGACATTTTGCAGTCTTGAAGAAATTTATGCCACTCGAGTAATCTAGTGTTGCAGTTAGAGAGATATTAGAGCGGCAATTGACCTACTGCAGAAGTGCAATGCATCAACGCTGCCTATTTCAGTACCTGGGCTACCAAAATTGCTTTTCACCGAAATGCTTAGTTTCATCTGGATTTATCATTGTTTTAATCCTTCAGTTATATCAAATGACCTACACATGAAATTGCGCACTGATTTAACTTGCTTCCAAGTAAACACTGCGCAATTCTTTGAAGAACTGAAGATATATTTAACCAAGGTTATATGCCTAACCTTCAGTGCTGAGTTTTGTCAACCAAATTTTAAATATTTCACGTCAAATTAGGTGATTCACAATCTCAGTTCACTATGAAGTGATGTTATATTGTAAGAAACAGCGTATATATTGCACTTTCATAATAACAATGATGCGACCTAAAAAGTATACAGAGAAATAAAATATCTGACGTACAACATTTGGTGAGCTAATCTAGATGAATTTCCAAGCATTATTTTGCAGGGATCTGATTGACTTCAATTTTGATCACGAGTTGATTTAAGTTAGAGAACCATAAAGGGCTTGCTACGAGACCATGGGGGGTGGGGGGCTAGACTTCTGTCTTCATGTCGATGTGTTTTCCAAATGGTCACGCGTTCATAGCCTCTGCAAAGTAAGTCCTAATCACTACCTCCGCTCGGCAGGGATAGCTCCTCACAAAATGGACAGAGAGCATGAGAACATCTGGCGTTCACGACACACGACTGATGGACATGCTGGTCTACCTTCGGCAGCTGGAAACCACCTAACTCCACACCTGTGGTGTACATGGGCTCAAAAAACCGGAAAGAAACAAATGTCTTCTGAGCCTGTTTTGATCACTGGAAACCATGAGAAGGCTGCTTTGCGGATGAGACCTCAAATTAAAAGCTTAGGATTGACCCGTAAAGATAACCGTCTGCTTACGTCTGGGAGTCCGTGCATTATCCCAGCCCTTGCACAAATTATGAGATAACTTGTGTGTTGAATTTCTTGGTGATTATAATGGACAAGGTTTGTTCTCTTAATAATAAAACAAAAATTGAAAACCAGAAGTACTAGACAGATGTCTCGTCTTATTTTGAGACTCATCAGCAGTACAAAACCATGACCTCATAAGGAATCGGACCTGGGACCTTCACGAAACAAGGTGAGGTCGTATAACAACATTCTGACCCTGGGACAGTACTCCTTATTTTCCAATGGTTGTTTAACTGGAGTGAATCGGTGATCAAAATTATAATCTCGACTCGGAAAATTTCTTTCTTCCTATAAATAATCGATAATGTGATGTAAAAACAATCCACATTACATACACAATAGAGGATTCTGTTGCCACATCTATGCAAACTCAACATTTCTGTTGTCTTTAGTTAACAAAACCAACCGGATCAAGTTTATCATCAAAAAAAAACTAATTCAAACAGATAATAAGATCAGTTAAATTCAATCAATGATTTGCATTAACAAAAAAAAAACACAACAACATACCGATTTTCTGTTAGTACAGCACCCAAATTTAAACAACGTATAAGCACTTGTAGCAGCATAGTGACAAGTGCAAAAAAGGAGACACATAAATCTGTTAGATAGTGTAAAACTTTACGACGAACACGTTCCAATTCAGTTCCATGTGATCCACCATGTGTACTAGATTGATCATGAGGCTTTTCAATCATACTCACCTAAAATAATAATAATATTCAAAAAGAGACATTATATCACACGATCTATCAATAAAAAAACTATTTTGCACAAAAAAGACAGTTATTAGAAAAGTAAAACAAACAGACTTTTTACATAGAAACAAGAGGTATGTAGACAGACAACATTCATGAAATGAATTCAACAAGAAAAATCTATTACAAATTCAATGTACAAAGGCATAAATTTAGTTTCTAAACTTCATGGAAGAACATAACAAAAACTTTATAGACTGAGTAAAATTTAACAATGCAAACTTCAGATCCCGATTAGTAATATCATCAGTCTCAGTCCCCACCTTCTCTCTTTTCTACCGACTAGGTGAGACTTAGGAGTGCATTGGTCGGGAAGCGAAGTATAATACGGCCAGTAGCAATGAGGTTAGGTGTTTTTGATGCAGTTGTGATCTATGAACTGAATGGTTTATTTGCGAAACCCTCATTACCATGCTAGGTAATATCTTCAGTGCATAGTTCAATTAGATGTGAGCATTTACATTTCTCCACGAGTTTATTAGTCATCCCTACTGGTGACCTTGAACGTGAATGGTTGAACCTATTGTTTCTTTGACCTGAACTTTGACCTGTTGTGTATGAGATTTCCTTCTTATCGATTGGTAAATTTTGTCTATATCAACGTGTCTATCCCTTGACGGCTAAGTGGAATACCAGGCTTCTAAAAATTCCCTGGCATTCTTGGTGTTTCTTTTTCGGGCGCCTGAAACCGAAAAAAGGTTAGTGTTGAGTGACCACAGATTCCAGGTGAGAACTGCTTGAGGCCGGTCAAAAACGGCCAGTATGAACTGGCTTTTAGGTTTCTTTCCGTATTAGTAACTTACCACCAGTTATTGACCGCCGTAGGGTAAGTCAGGATGTATAATTTTTGGGGTCGACCTTTTCTAATCCCATCCCTCCAGAGTGGAGTAAGCTGACATAGGATCAGGGTGGGAAAGAGCCAGTGGTGGTCAAACCAAAACATTGCTTCATCGGTCAATAAAATCCACAACAGTTAGTTTAAGCCAAGCACATAAGAAGGTGTAGATTTCCTGATTGGTTGGGGTCTTCGTGGTGGTAAAATCCAGTGGCTGCAAACAATCGGTAATATGGCTCAAAATCGTTCTCAATGGCCAGCGCAGATGCATCCACTCCTTGTGACTTATGATTTCCAATGAAACTATATTGTTCGTCGTTATTACTATTCTTTTGTCTCACACCTGTGTTTACTGTTACTGTTTTGCATTTCTTTTTACTTTCTTCTCTGGTTTTGTGTGTTGAGTGAAGTGTGGAGACTCGAACTGCTGCACATCAGTGCAAAGTTTTATGTTGAGATCACCCAGTTACGTGATTCTTCTACTCAATATTTGGATGTTGTCCCAGTTGAATCGATGTCCGAGGTTGTCTGTATGCAGCGACATGAGGCAGTGGATATCATGTCTTTGGATGGCTAGTTTATGATCATGGATACAAAGACGAAGGGGACGTTCACTTTGGATAATGTAGTGGTTTTTGCAATCGTTGCAACTTATTTTGTAGATGATGTTGGTTTTATCTTCTTTCGCGGTTAGTTCTTTTGGTTGACACAGAGCTGAGTAAAGTGATTGTGTTGACTTAATGTGCGAGTTCAATTCCTACAGGTTTGAACAGTCATACAGTGATTTCTGAGACGTCCTTTATATATGTTAGAGCGATTTTCTTTGTGCTTCCCTTGGGGGCTTTTGATTTGGTAGGTTGGTTTGGGTGAAGATGTCTTGTGATGAAGTTTCATGGAGTAGAGTATTAGGCAAGTGTTCCAAGATGATGGATGTTAGCTGATATGGAATTAGGCAAGAAAAGAGTCAAGAGGAATTAGAAAAAAAAACATTACACCAGTCCATAAAGTCTATCATTGTTAGTTTGAGTCATTTAGTGAGGTATACACTGCCTGGTTGGAGTCCTCGAGACACTAACAACTAATAACTGAAAAGTATTGATGATATGTCTCAAAATCATTCACTCTTCATGACATCCTAGAATCACTATACCTGCATTATTCTCTGTGTAATTGAACATTTAGATTTATTATGCTTTTTGACATTGAAATCTTGAACTATTATACTTTCGTGGAGAGTTCCGTGTTGAACATTCAGTGTTCATTAATATTAATCATTTCTAACAGTGAATTAGATAATTCAGCTCTAATATCATTGCCATTGAACATCAATGTTAATGAATACATCCCTCTATAATCGCCTAATGTTTTTCACTTCACGGTTACAAAAAAGAGTGGAAAACAGTTATGTTATTTTTTCTCTCTCTCTCTCTCTATAGGAAATGAAAACACTTGATATAAACTCAAAAGAATGTAGAATCTATTGATTTCAATGGGACTCATCTGTTTTTCACTTCAATATATATACACATATGTATGGTATTGGAGGAATATATATATATATATATATATATATATATATATATATATATATATACACAACAGACATGCATGCATGCATGAAGGCAGGCAGGCAGGCGTAAATCACACGTAAACATTTAATGAGATTACAGCAGCAACATAATATGAATAATTGAAACAGGGGATAAATTAAACAGAATAGTTAATCAACAGTAGTGTTTGATAACAACTAGAAAATAATAAGTGTTATTAAGGGACACACAATACTAAGCAATATTAGTAGAATAATTATGTGAGAAAACAGAAATAAAAGAATGGGTTACATTAAACAAGGTGGCGATAAATATACAAAATATATACTGAAGTTAATCCAAATCTCTATAAAAGCTGAAAAAACTCCCTAAATTGTGGATGAAACTGTAAAAAAACGAAGAAAAAAAACTCAGCGAAGATGATTTCCTTTATCGATGCAATCAAAATCTCGTACTTCTTGTAAAATTCTGCCTCACTTGAAAACCTGATCAAGAGCAACGATTGCATTTATAGACACTTCTTGCATTTGCTCAAAGCGTCAGTTTATCATCCCTCATATTCGATTACATTAGATAGTTGGAGGTAATCGGTAGGGGGCCTTGCTTAACCTAGATTTCGTGCTAGTTGGCCCTCACCAGTCAGCAAGGCGTACATGCGACCTTGAAGGAACTCATGTTCCTTCTGAGATTCAAACCAGTGTCACCCAGTACTGCAGTCAGAGACGTTACCACTGAGCTATTCGGCCTCGCAATTGACCTCCTGTAGGAGTGTATTGGATACTTTTGATTGGACACTAGTAACTAGTGTGACGTGCCTAGTGCTTTTTTTTGGTGCAGAGTGAATTCTGTCAGTCAGATTTGCAATGTAGCCACCATTCTAGGTAGCTAAGCATCACGGTGCATATTGATTTGATGATGTTAAATGGTTGGAGGCGATCAGCAGGAAGCCTTGGACCTACATTTCGTGCCAGTTGTCAAATCAATGTGCACTGTGATGATGAGCTACTTAGAATAGTGACCACATTGCAAACCTGACTGATAGAATTCAGTATGCACCAAAGAAAGGACTAAGTACTTCACACTAGTTACTAGTGTCTAATCTAAGTATCCCTCATATTCGCCAATCCTTTGTTGAGTGCAGAAATCGATTCGTAGCTCAAGAAAGAAAAACTTGCTTTCCTCAGCGATATATATATATATATATTCAACACTCATAAGCAATAGTTTCATTTCACCTGTTAGGATTGTTTACGCACCAGTGCCCCTGTCTCATATTTTTATCTATAAACCTATGTAAGGTATCCCATTTTGTGTCATTACTTCTTGGAATTGTCAATTGTGTCACCAGCACAGATCTTTTCGATTCTTGAGAATTAAAAAAGGATTAGACTTCCCTTTCGACTGAAAAGAATTTAGGCATGAAAAGTCATGCACTAACCACTACTGAATGCCGCATTCTTCCAGAAACTAATTTTAGGTTACCGCTTTAATAAAATGAATTCTCATCTAAATACCCAGTAACAAACTGTTATGCTTTTTTTAATTATTCCTTCACGTTCCCCTCTATGGAACATAGGGCTTCAAGCTAGACTTTAGAAGTTTCGGTGGCAGTCGTATTTTATTTTTACGGGATGGGGTTGCTAACCTCCCACCCAATCTTCCCTCTTTACTAGGCTTAATGGCTTAGCGAGGTAAGAAAGTGCGCTGGCCGGGGATCGACCCCAGAGCGACGTGAGGCGTCGTTGGCGAACATCCTACCTCTGTGCTACCGATACACGTTATACATTTTAGTCAATATAAATCCAACTGTACAAACTTTGAGGATAAGTTTGTCAATAGGAAATATTTTCTCCACTGAATTATCTTTCGCTCTATTCAAATTCTTTAAATACGGTATTAAGAGTTTATATGTGTGGAATGGAAAGAGGGATGAGTCCTACTGAAATTTGTAGAAGTAATAAATCCTTTCCTAAAAACGTTTTCATATGTTTAAAACTATACAGTGATTTATTTGCTTACTATTTTCGTTCGATCCTATTCACAATCTACTAACGAGTACCCAATCATTTATGAATTGAATAGCCTATGGGAGAAATCTTCAGTGTGCAAAATTAGTTGACGCGTATTTTGAATCTCAGAAATACAAGCTTTTACGAGGTTGTAAATATATGTCTGGCTGATGAATGTAAGCAAGCTGTGAATACCAAATGTAAAGATTCCTGTCAAATGACATGTTCCTACATACTGAGGATGAAATTTTCAATTTGAACGATTCCGGGGCGAAAGGGAGATATTTCACCGCAGTTACCTTTGGATACCAAAAGCATTCTCACATCACAATATGTGATCTGCTTTGATACTATAAAAGGTAATCATGAATGAAAGCAAGCATAATTACATGAAACTATATACTACTGATGGCTTGTGATGAATAGTTGTATACCACTCATATCAATCAGTCCCATGTGGTTTGAACTGATTTGGTTGTATGAGTTCAGTTAAACCAGGTACACCGTTGATGAGTCCAACCCAAAAGATCGAGAAAATCATCCAGTGTCCAAAGCATCTCAATCTGGCTAGGAAGCACTGCTAATTGATGTGAATGGTGGTATACAACTAATCATTTAGGTCAGTCAGAAGGATTTAACTGTCTGTCTATCTATCTGTCTTCAGCATAGAACTTTGCACCGATGTGCAGCAGTTCAAGTCGCCACACTGTATGTTACACACAAAGTAAGACAAAAAAGTAGAATAAATGCACAATAGAGACAGTAAACAGAGATATGAGGCAGAAGGAATAGTAATATCGAAGAACAATATAGCTTCATTGGGTATTATAAGTCACAAGGAGTGGATGCAACTGCGCCACTGAGAATGACTTTGAGCCATAACAGCGATTATCTCCAGCCACTGGCTTTTACCACCACGAAGACCCCAACCAGTCAGGAAGTCTACACCTTCTTACGTGGCTGGCTTAAACTAACTGTTGTGGATTTCATTGACTGGTGGGGCCATGTTTTAGTTCGACCATCGCTAGCCCTTTCCCAGCCTGACCTTATGTCAGTAGGATATAACTCAAAAGACTAGACTGCTATCTGGTCATCGACCATTGTAAATAAAAATATCACCGCCATTACCACCAACAACAACAAAATGAAATACTTACTTTATTGTTAATACTTGTAATATTATCGCTGAGATCACGTATTTTTGTAGTGACTTGATATTCAACTGAATATAATGAATCATGAAACTCATTACGTAATGCTGCTAACTCATGTGGCAGAGCTTGTCTTGACTCTTCAGCTATAGCATCTAGCCTTTCGATACGTGAACTAGCATCAGTTAACTTTTGATTTTGTAGTTCAGCTTTTGTTGTTGCATCACGCTACAATTGTAAGAAAAAGTATACACGTGTGAAAAGAAAGCAAATAATAAGTTTAAGAAATCATGATAATATAAAAAATCTTTAAGGACAATTTATTTAGTTACACGTTATTTTATTGATCCCTTGTGGGTTAATTCTACTTCAAAATATCTCTACCTATTGCCAACTATAAGTATAACTTTTCTGACATAACATTCTACTACATAGTGATTCGTAACTAACAGTGCTAGAGAACTAACGCATCACGAAAGACACTTCCAACATGCTTCTGCACACACTTCCATCAACAACAACAACAATCAGCGAACCAACTAAGAACCTATTGTCCAACAATTATACACAGATAAATGGAGATGGATAGTTCATACGATCGGGAGACCATTGAATGGCATCAAGCGCCAGGCCTTCGAATGGAACTCAAACAGGAAACGTGATAAGTACAGTGTCCGAGAAAAGATCGCATGAAGAGGAAATGAAAGATTTTAGGCGATTATGGAACCAGATAAGAAAGGAATACACAGAACAGAGTGAAATGACAAAGTGCTGCAGAAGCCCTGTATACCACAAGGAATCCAAAGGACGAATATTATAATCATAAAAGTATTAAATTTCCACACTGAAAAACGTTCTACACAGCAGTGCATTCGTTCACACGAGAACACAAACACAATACGTACAAAAGTAGAGGAGAAATGTAAAACGAACAAACATGCAAGGTGGAAAAAACAATTAATGAGTTTATATTATTAAAAGTAAATCTGTGTATCTATTCTTTGATGAAAGAATTTAAACCGTTTCACCATGCATCAATAGCTACTGAAATGGCTCAGGTAAACAGCTAACGTCTTTATAGATTGATTCCATCTTCTAATCTGAGACTACGGTTCATTGAATTACGCCCCTCATTTTAAAGCGACGTGAGTTGCAAAATAGAACTTTGTACAGAATTGCAGTAATTCAAGTTACCACACTCTAAACAATGCACAAAACTAAAAACAAAATACATTCCAAAAGTGCTATAATGAACACAAATGTACGGGAGAAAGAACAGCGACAAAGAAAATAGCGAGGATTTAAGGGTTTTGTGAGAGATCACAAAGAGTGAATGTATCCTCACAGTTTCCAACCATCGGTTGTTAGCGTCTCGAAGATTCCAACAAGGAATTTTATGTCTCTATGTGGCTTAAACTGACAGTCGAAAACTTCACGGATTGGTGGCAGGTTTTCGTTTCACCACCTCTAACTCTTTTCTAACTAGATCTTATGTCAGGTAACGTTGCTCATCGAGGAAGGTGTTGGGTAGCTCAGCATGCGTGACACATGTCTTAACCATTTTAATCGATGTAACGTCTTAATCTTATCGATTGACTTACCCTCCATACTCTACGCTCAACCTCGATATTATTCACCATACTATACCACTTAAAATATGACATAAAACGTAAACATCTGTGGTCAATGACAGATCGATGACCATGTCCCACAGCCATAAAGGAGTAGACAGCGAACTACTGAGCAGTATACATATCGTTTAATCGATAGCTGGAAATCACGTCTATGCTAGAAATGAAATCAGTTGACGAAGGATACAAAAGGCAAACACATAACTATTATCCAACTACTGTGTTTGGAAATCAAATCGCCTATGAATTCTAACTTTTGCTAGTAGTAATAATATTAAGACTACCGCAACTAGTAATAATAATAATAACAACAATAATGATGGTAATAATAAAACGCACATGAAAATAATCGTTAGAATCACGAAATATGCTTACAAATAACTTAGGTTAGTTTAGCTGTAACAACAAAAGATATTACTAATAATTTGTTTTAAACACGAAAGAGAAACATACATAATATAAAACAGAATAGAAGACAATGCCATGTAAACAGATGTAGGCATAAACACACACACACACAGACAGGCACATATGCATACACGTCAGTAGATGAAGGTGAAAAAACAACAACAACAGAAGGATGGGAGGAAAGAGGGTCAAGGTGTATTGACTAACTAACCAACTGACTAACTAACTGGATTCGATGGTATTTTCAACAAGTAAAAACAACAATAATAACACATCACATCTCTTTACTAAACAAAAAGCCTTCCTTTTAGACATATATGAACTAATATCAAGGTGAAGCTTTTCACTTGAAATAACAATTTACAACAAAGAATTAAAGGAATAAGGTGCTCAGAATTAATAAACTGATGGATGATACAACACAGGGAACCGAATGACTAAGATGAATATACCACACTACTAATAGACTATCATCTTGTAAACAAGATGTAACAAAAAAATATTATTCGGTCAAGTGGAGTCTTCTGTAACAGTAAAAGACAAAAGACTTAGAGTAAAGGAATGTTTATTTGGAACTCAGTATCTCTCCATATAGCGAAATTATGTACACCTTATCGCAAAATCATCATTTGCATAGATATTCTGTGTTGTGCTACTTCTGCCCTTTGGTGGTGTTGTTTTTGTGTGTCTCCCATGTTGTGCTGCAATACTGAATCACTCGGCCTCTTTGACGTCAAACCTACCTGTCTGCTATTTGATATTTTTTATACCGATGACTGTCCCTTTATATATATTTATACTACTGATAAATCTCATCAGTATCTTCATACATACGTTATTCAGTTCAGTATCTCCAATCTGTTGACTGTACAAATCATCATCCTATGACGTCTATGTGGGTTATTTGAGGTAAAAAAAAACAACAAATGATATCACTATAAAGTGGTTGGAAATAACTCCAGTGTTTTCAGAATGTAGACTATCTATAAAGCGCCTGGGTTAGAATGAAGTAGAATTAGAACGTCTTGATATAGTAGAGATTCACGAGTTATTGAGTTTCAGTCCCGTAATTTGAAGGCCCCAGCTTTGAGCTCTATTAGGTTTGGGGATGAGCATTACTGAATACAAAACTAAGACGAATACAGGTGTCCAGCGAAACCTGTTTTTCAATGATCTCTAACTGTGACAAAATCTACATTGAAAAAGAAGATTGGATGAAGTCAATATTTTTTTTATTTTGATTTTTGATTTACAGCTTGATTCCACACCGTATTTTTGGTACAAGTATGGAATTTTCAGCATCGATATCGGTAGCCCAAATTTTGCAGGCCGACCATGGATATCAGGTGTGCGCCGGCGTGGGCTCGAACCCCGGACCATGTGCATGGTCGGCGAGAGTCCTAACCACTGTACCACCGACGCACAATTACTACCTACCTGTCTAGCAAACTCTAATTACGTAAAAGCGAATAAAGGAGATTTCTTAATCCATTAGCCTTTGAGCACTAAATACAGTCATCATTCATGAATTCACCTGTGTTCTATTCAATATGCAGCACCCATACAGATTTTAGCTATTTAATAATGTCCAACAGGGATGTGGAAAAGACCGCGTGATGACGAGATGAAAGCCTATAGGACAATCATGGAGCCACCCGAACAGGACCGTATATAACAGGATTAAATGGTGGCATGCTGCTGAAGCTTTATGTTCCACTCGGTATCCAAGGGAATAAGTAGTAAAGCATCAGAGTTAGCAACCATTCACCTACAAGTAACCTTTATACAAGCTCACTTTATGTTATGTACTACTTGACTCTATGAATATATCTTGATGTCTAATAAAATCTAAGTGATTCTGATGAAGAAGTTGTGATTCATACACGGAAACGTTCATAAGAATCTTGTTTTAATTTTCTTTTAAACAGTCTAGGATGATTTCAAGTAACCTTATAACGATTCAATCAGTTTTTCTACAAAATATGTAACATCTATGATCTTGAAATGATATAGTTATAAAATGTTACTTCTTAAGGAATGAAATAATTATTTCAAAGAGCAACCCAGCTTCTATCATCTGTGCTCAATATATATATATATATATATATATATATATGTGATTGGTACTAGAGTAGCACTGCAAACGACGAAGTCTCTCACACTTAAAGTAGATTCCACTTTTCCCATTGATTGATTGGGTCAAAATTTTCGGTCTCTATTGTCTGAAACAAGTGATCACTGTTACCTCTTGCATAAGAGGTGGCTCTCGCGGTTCAAGCGGCCTACTAGATAATGCTTTGGCGTTTGAAATGATTGGCGCTAAGTTAGTCTTAACGGGAAAGGCATCACTCATTGAGGATCACAGGTACATCCAGGTGACGAGTTCCAAATAAGAAGAAATAAGCATCTTTGATTCCTCTGCTAGTTCACCAACCACTGAATAGGTTATTAGACTTCTTATAAACAACTATCCCCGAGTAAAAGCGTGGTTGGAAGCTTTCAAAAATAAAAGAATGAATTCAAACCTTACAAGCTATAATAGATTGATCACATAATCACAGGTAAATCTGTTTATACGCAATACAGACTAAATGTACGCTAGGTATATTAGATATTTCAATAATGCTTGCACGATTTGTGGAATAATTTGAGTAAAACTGACGATAAAAAGAAAAGTTTATGCTTCGACAGTTACTTTATCATTCAGAATTTCACACACACACACACACACACATACATACATACACATATGAAACATCTAACATACTTTGTCGTTTCACTTAGCATAGATTGTTAATGACGTCTGGTTCATGGACGTCTCTAGAACCTCTATCCAGGTAGTCTTAAACCAACACTGAAAGACTTCATGGATTGATGCCAGATCTTTTTTATGGACATCCCTATCTCTTTTCAAACCCAGTTCTATATCATCAAAGATTGCTCGACAAGATATGGAATGGTTTGGCATGTGTGGAACGTGTCCTAGCCATCCCAATTTATGCAGCTTCATAATCTCTCCTGACCATATTAAACTGCTCAAAACGAGAAATAGGATATTTTTGGTCAAAGACGGCTGACTTTCAGTTGTATGGATGAAACCTATTTTAAAGTAAATTAATTCAGCTAACAGATAATTGATATCCAACATGTGTTTAAATCATTGATACTAGTTAATCTCACCGACTGACTCATTGGTTTCAAGATAGAGCTTTGCACAGATGTGCAGATCTGCTACACTCTGTGTAGCATATAAAAGCAAGAAAAGAGAGGAAAAAGAAGTGTCAGGCAGAAACAGTAGTGATATAGAAGAACAGTAGAATTTTATTGAATGTGATAAATCGCAAACAGCGAATGCATCTGCACTAGCCATTGAGAACGATTTGAGCTATATATATATATCACCAACAATTGTCTTCATCTACTGGTTTCCACCATTGTGAGGACCCCAACCAGTCAGGAAGTCTATATCTCCCAACATGGCTTAAACTAACTGTTATGAATTTGATTGAATGATGCGTTTAGCGGAGATAATTGATTAATTCGAAATGAAATAGTTGTCACCTTATTTTTCTAGCGTCCCACGATTTTTCGACTAACAATTAAACATTTTACATAACACATAACCCGCTCTATAATATTTAATATTAAGTCCAAAAAATTAATAAATTATTTTCGACAAGCATATGCATACATTTATTTTCATTCATTTTGTATTACAACAATCATGAAAAGCCTATGTGTATACATATATATATACACAATTTGACACCTTTTCGGTCTTTGTAGGGTAGAATAATAATAATAACAGTAAAACTAAGGTCAGCCTAACTGATTAGTTTTGTGAAAAACGTGGACATAATATGATTCAAATTGTGATATATATATTCGTTGGAGTATTTCACCATGAGTTGACATCAGTTGGAGAACCATTGGAAAACCAGTGGTCTAATGGTCTACGAGCTCGCCTTGTCACCAGAAGGCCCTGGATTCGAACCCCGGTGGGTGCGTGCTTTTGAAGAGTCCCAAATTAGGACGGAGGAAAAAGCTGTCCAGTACTCCCAGCTGGTTTTCCAATGGTTCTGTAACCAAATGTCAGCTCACTATGAAATCCTCCAACCAATCAAACAAAATCCCTACAAACAACCAATACTTGCAAACATACATATTCATATATTGTGAAAAGATTTGAAAATATGCGTTTTTTGTGTTTGTAGATAAACACTTTATTGGGCATTGTGTTCTACTACTACAAAGATTACTACTTCTTATTTCACATTTGACAAAATTATCATAGCTACTTATCTTGTAAACTACCAACTTAGGTAATTCAGACATTAGCAATAGATAGTTTGACACACTAAAACTAGGCTAGTCTAACGCAAGAAACATATATACACATCTATTGACTGGCTTGAATCAATAATAGATAAAGTGAAGTTTGTATTAGTAAGCTTATTGGTAGAAAGTCAACTGAGATATATCTATCCATTGAGTCATCCTATGGAAGGTGTTGAAGCAATTTTCGCAATTTTCTAAAACGATAAAGGTAATTATACGCTTAACAGGCTGTTAGAAAATGGGAAAATAGAAATTCTATGATTCAAAATAGATATTTTGCTTTTGGAACACATTAAATGAACTGAGACACATAGATTAGGGTTATAAAAATTAATTACTAAGGTTTAAATGACAGTTAGAACTCAGTTATCTAGAGCAGATCTTTTTTGTGTGTGTAGTAAGTTAAGAGTCGCATCACATGATTGAGGGTTTATGAAGCAACCTAACTGTTAGGACTGAGGTATGTAGAGAGTTTTGAAGCTGGGACACATCGACTGACACCTTATATTCACATTTACCTAAATTAGACGGATGACGATCATATTCAGTGTGTTAAACAGTTGCATTGTCTCATTTTATCCACCGATGACACTATCAATTTTCTTGGACTCAAAGATGTCACTAGATTTCATCATGAGGTGAAATAAGTTAGAGAACCGTTGGGAAATCTGGGAGTACTGGACAGCTGTTTCCCCCGCCCTAGTTTGGGACTCTTCAGCAGTACGTACCCACCGCCAGGGTTCGAACCCAGGACCTTCTGGTTAAAAGGCTAGCGAGCTCGTTTACCATTAAGCCACTGGGCCCGATCCAATGGCCCATGAATTCTAACTCCTGCCAATTCATGACAGATGAAATGCTCACTAGCGGCTTGCCCTATTCAAGTAGGTTCTAGTGAGAAGTCGTGACCAGTTGGGTGCAGCAGGTCGGGTGTGAGGATAAATACTTGCCGAAAACACTGGCTAGCGGTCGTGCTCTATCGTGAATTGGCAGAAGTTAGAATTCATGGGCCATCGGATCGGGTCCCAGTGGCTTAATGGTATACGAGCTCGCGTTGTCACCAGAAGGTCTTGGGTTCGAACCGTGGCGGTAGGTGCGTACTGCTGAAGAGACCCAAACTAGGACGAAACAGTTGTCCAGTACTCCTAGTTGGTTTCCCATTGGTTCTCTAGCCGATGTCAGCTCATGATGAAATCCTGTAACCAACCAAATCCCTACAAACCAACACTCAAATATCAAAGATGTTAATTGGAGATGTTGGTTACTACAGATAGCCTCAATAATTGGTGTTAATTGGTTCGAAACAATTGACAAAATGCCCCAGAACTAGGTTTCTTATTCATTAAATCTCATCAAGCAAGGCATATCTGAAACCTATCGAACTAATGTCGCTTCAGAGATTCAAATTCGCCAGTGATGCAGTCGTAGACGTTAATATTGAGCTATAGGCGTTCATAATTGACGTCCTGTAGGACTCTAATGGATAGATTGATTATTAACTAGAGTTCCAACACACTAATCCTGTAAAAGTTGATGATAAAACCAGATTATCCAAATGGAAAGAGAATTGAACTTGGCGCTTACTGGCTGGAAAGTCGAGCCACTTAAGTCAATGAGAAAATGTTAAGTTCTACATTTGATTATTCCATAGTCAACATCAATATCCATTTAACAGCAATTTAAATTAAGGCATACATACCTATCATAATACAAAAGAGAACATTTTTAAAACAACATTAAAAACTTACTCGAATAGCTTCTAATTCAGTTGTTAAATTACTCAGTGTAGATTGAATATTAAGTGTTTCACTTCGCATAACACTTAATTCATCACGAATTTCTTGAAATATTTGTGCTTGTTGATTAGTTAACATATTGAATTGACATTCTTGACGACGATAGAGATAAGCAAATGCAAGAGCTAAATTATTTGCTGATATATTGCTTAATGTAAGATCTGAGCGACATGAACCAACATATCCACCGCTGCCAACGCCACCAACACCTCCTGCTACTCCTGCCATACCACCACCACCACTACTACTTGTTCCACCATGAGGGGGACTAAATGTATCCGATGTGATGATATGACTTTTTGATCCAGCTTTTGACTTGTCCAACACACCTAATCCTGATGCAGATAGAGCAGAGGAACCCGAGGATCCAACACCGGGCAAGTTATTACTATTACCAGTAGAGATAAGATTTTGACCACTACTACTACTAAATACCTGATTACTAGATACACCAAGACATTCAAAAATGCGCATCAATGTATTATCCCCACCTTCAGACCATGAAGAAAATGCTCCAGTATTACTAGATGGATCAGGATTTGTATCATCTTTCGAAGCGGTACCCCCACCACCACCACAAACAACTCCTACGCCGCTTAAACCACTTATCATACTACGACCACCGACACCGTCATAACCACCGACGCTCATAGGATTCACTCCATTTGTTGATGATAATGAACCAGTACGTATTGGTTGTGAATTACTGCTGATTACATTCTCGGATAAAAGCATACTAGATGATTCAGGCTAAAAGAAAACGAAGCAACAGAAAAGAATATGAGGCGTAGGTAAAGAAGATAATCCACAATGAACATACATAAATATAAATACATTAACTGCAGTTTTGAAAAAAAAAAGTCTTCAAACAAGAAATATACCAAATAAAACATCTAAGATGGGAAAAAAGTGGTAGAATAAGTAAAGTGTGAACGAAGTCAAATCTTCAGGAGACATGTGGACACAAAAATTGATTAACACACTTAAAGGGATTTAAGTGTTAGTTTGTAGGGTTTTGGTTGGTTACAGGATTTCATCGTGAGCTGACATTGGTTAGAGAAACATTGAAAAACCGGAGAGTAGTGGACAGGTGTTTCGCCCTAGTTTGGGACTCTTCACAGCGCGCACCCACCGCCAGGGGTCGAATTCAGGACGTTCTGGTTACAAGGCGAGCTCGTATACCATTAAGCCACTGGGACCCGATCCGATGGCCCATGAATTCTAAATTCTGCCAATTCACGACCATTATAAAACAAGTTGTACAGAACACCTAGTTTGCCCTTGTTTGGAACTCCTCAGTAATAAACACTCATGACTACAACTAAAGTCGGGTGTGAGGATAGATACACAGTTCGATGATATGATTAACGGTGGAGCAATATATCACGAAACAACTGTCTACTGCTCCTTGGTTTCTACTAGTTTTTTTAGATGGTCTCTGTACGTAGTGAAATCTACCATGAAATCAATTAAAACCTTCCAAATCTTTGAAGAACAAAACATGATTTGATCTAACCTGAGAGTTAGACCATCTATCGAACATTTAGTCAGCAAAACTGATTATATTTGTTGAAAAGTGGACTTTCTCTAGTTTGTTTTAATAGCTTTATGTTACTTTATTAGGTGTTAACTGACCTATGAAGATCAGAACGTACATTTCACCCTGAATTAATTTCCATCCCTAGTGGGGTGGTAATGGGTATGTTTTGTTTTGTTTTTTTTTGGTTTGTTTTCGACATAGAACTTTGCACATATGTGCGGAAGTTCAAGCCGCCACACTCCATGCAGCACACAAAGCAAGAGAAGAGAAGAAAGTAGAAGAAATGCATACTAGAGACAGTAAACAGAGGTATGTAACAAAGAACAATATAGTTTCGTTGGAAATCATAATTCACAAGGAGTGGATGCTAATTTATTTTACTTTTTATTTTTTGATTATAGCTTGATCCCACGCCGTATTTTCGATTCAAGTATGGAATTTTCAGCATTTGATATCGGTAGCCCAAATTTTGCAGGCCGACCATAGATATCAGGTGTGCGTCGGCAGGGGATCGAACCCCGGACCATGTGAATGGTCGGCGAGAGTCCTAACAGCTGTGCCGAAAAGGTTGTTCAGCACCCCTTAGTTTCCAATGGTTTCATTTGGTTGGTGTCAGCTAGATGAACTAAATTCAAACATAAAACGCTGTTCATTCACAATTGCACTGGATAAAACTTTCAAACAGTAGTTGACTGAAATCAATACTAGTAATTGCATACTTCAAAAAATTGGTCAGAAAGTCAAAGAAAACAAGGTGTGAACGTGTGTATGAGTGTTTTCGTGTGCGTGTGAGTGTGTGTGTACGTAAACGTATATACACGTGAAAGTGTAGAATGTGACTTTCGAAACTAGTGTTGAGAGAAAAAAAATATACGAATGACTGAATAAACAACGTGCTAGGTAGGTAGGTTATTAGGTAAACAAATTTCGACCAAGGTAACAAACCGATTATTAATGACAATTTGTTAAACACAGGTATACAATTTTAGATATAATCTAACTCTTAGCATAGTTTTATTTGGTATCATTTCATTATTGTTTAAAAATTACAGCTGATTTGAACAAAGGACTTTATTTCGAATAAATTGTCTATACATGGTTACAGTTATGCAATATATGTTAACGCTACAGAAATAGTCAGGTATACAGTGAATGAAATTTGACGTAGGGAATGTAACTGTTAGATGGTTGCAGACAAATGGTAGAAAGCCTTGCACTTGGGTTTCGTGCAATCCCCAACCACAGCAGAGCATATCTGTAATCTTGAAAGAACTCATGTGCCCGTTCTGAGATTCGAATACGGGTCAGAAGCCAGTGATTCAGTCAGAGACGACCTTACGGCTGAAATATACGGACTCGCCATTAACCTCTTGCACGACTGTAATGGATACTTTGGTTAAAGACTAAGTAGTAATTAGTGTTATGTATCTAATCTTTCGTTTGGTGCAGACTTGCAGGATCCGGACTGGAACGTAATAATATTAACAATTCAGGATACACTGTGATAGTGAGCCACCTAGTATGGTAGACACATTGCAAACTAGACTGATAGAATTCAGTCTGCGGTAAAACGGAAGACGCACGACATTAAGTACTAACTAGCGTCCAATCAAAGTGGGATATGATTACCGATTTAAAATCAGAAGCTGTTCGTCCTTTGGCCATCCCTGGATAAATAGCTATCCATTCTTTTATATATTTCTCTTGCTCTCTTACCTTAATTTCATTAAACACAATTTGAGTCTTATTTTTAGATCACTTCGATTTTTTATTCTAGTAACCCTGATGTATTTTGTCAAATTCCCTATACATACATGCATGCAGAGAGATAGTAACAAGTTATTTCTATCCCCTTTATATGGCTATACTGCATTAATTTCATTTATTGATTATTTGACGATAAATTATTCATCAATTTCGCTGCTGACTGATTGGTTACATCAAGCTGGAATGCTCAGTATCTGTTCATATGTCACTACCTAGTACGAATGCTTGGACGCTGCTTTAAGAGTAAAACATCACGTTACTAGACTGATGGTGGAATCCAAGTATAACACTTCCTCTTAGTTGTGACTCATCAACTGGATGTACCTGCATCTCCAGTGAGTCTTGGTGTCACCGCTCAAATTCTAATTCAGAAGGGATCATTTCATACGCTGGGCTTGTGGATCGCGAGTCATGTCTCGTGTAAAAGGAGTCGATAGCTAACTTACCACTGTTTGCTGTTCAATGCATACTGCCCATTCTACAACCTTGAACTAACTTACTAACCTTCTTTTCCAACATTGTATCAATTTATTATAAATAAAAATTAGTAAATATCACTATCCACTTCATACTATTTTTAATTACATTCAGCTCACTCCATGTGCGTAGGTGGCACAACGGTTAGGATGCTCGCCGACCATGCACATCGTCGGAGGTTCACTCCCCGGCCGACGCGCTCGTTTACCTATCTAAGCCAGCAAAAAAAAGCTTGTAAAGGGGGAAAGATTGGGCCAGGTGAGGCTAGCAACCCCATCCTATAAAAATAATCACCACTGCTACCGAAGCTTGAAGCCCTGTGTTCCACTGGGAACGTGAAGGAATCGAAAAAAAGTTCACTCCATGTGTGTGTCTCTCTACAACTTTAAACGAATCTAATTTTAAGTACACAATTATATTCTACACTTAAATGCATTCGTCACGTACCTGCCTATTATACAACTATGAAAACCTGAAGAGAATTATTTGACAAAAAAATCCTTCAGTCTAACCGACTTTGAGATAAGGATTATTACAAAATCAATAGATGACTATTGATGATGAAAAGTTTTAGCAATCAGAGGTAGAGGGGAGATCGATATTCAATATAAAGAAGTCTATTAAGGAAACGGAGTTGGCGGAGATAACTAGACAGTCTAAGGGGAAAAAACCAACGGGATCACACTTAAAATTTTCAAAAATCGAAATTCTACCCCAACTGTTATGGTAACAGTCAGAAACTGTTATACATTCTGTCATTCTAGCACTCTCCCCTCCCATGGAGAGTGATAAATTAATACAAAAGACTGTTATACCTCTTAGTCACCACATATACCCACGATTTTTTGTTTGTAGACATTGAAAATGGTGATTTTTAGGCTAGAGAAAATTTGCTTTGATGAATCATGATTGTCTTTTATTTTCTTATCATGACTCATAACTGGTATTTTCGGTCTTCGAAATACAAGATTAAAGACATTATGTACCTCCTCCACCATTACGTAGGGGTGTTGTTTTTTCTTATCAAAACTCAGTTTAGAATAATTTTTGATTGGAATTGACACGAAATCAATAAAACTGCCTAAAATATCTACACTTCAACTATTAGTATACTCAAGATTTTAGGTTTTGTAAAAAATTTTGATTAAATTGAGTGTAGATTTCGTCAAGAAGTGACTTTGATTAGAGAATTATTGAAAACCAAAAAAAAAAAAAGAAAAACACTGCACTGGACAGCGAACTCTATCTTGTTTGAAACTCTTCAGAAGTGAGCATTCACAGGTATCGAACCAAGGACTTTTAGGGATTCCCACGAAATCTACATTGGAATTAATCAAAATCCCTACAAGACACAAAATTCGAATATCAAACTCCAGCCTATTGAAAGCTACTGAATGAATGTCCTGAAGTTTTATTGATAAGTTATGACTGATGGAATCCACAATGTAGTGGTCAGGACAAAGCAGACGCTTGGCGATTGCATTGGTTGAAGGTAGAACTCTATTGTGAATTGACAGAAAGAAGAATTCATGGGTCACTGAAGGCTCAACGGGTTGGCGTCGTAATCGTCAACGCACTGCTAAAGAGTTCTACATCACTATACTGTCCTTACTTCGAATAAACTAGTAGTGAGGAGTTAGAAAGCCACAAAGTAAGAAGTAAGAGATAAACAGTTGACTCATTGTATTTCGTTTACAACTGACTAATGCACGAATTAACGTAAAATTTTTCACAGAAGGACATTATATTACATTATGAAAACTCTGACAGGACGGAATGCAATCGGAGATGTGCCTCTGGAGGCTTATGTTTCACTGGGAAATTAAAAGGATGAACAGTACTACAACAACAACAAATCAATACTTCATATAAACACACACAAATACATACAAACAAGTAATGCTAGAACAGAACAAAGGTGTGGTGAAGTAACCATTGATGAAAACATGTCTATGAAAGAGACGAT